TTTTATTTTTATCTGGCTCCCTCAGAGCCAGCTATCGGAATGAACAGAACCTCTGACACACCTGTTTCTATCTGTCTGCCAGGGCTCCCTGATTGGACCAGATTAACAGGCCCAATCAGCAAACTCAAATTCTATTAAGTCCACCTGGCTGACCTCCTTACATCACTACAGGAAGCATGATAATGTGTGTCTCGTAGACTTGTTTAAGTTTTTTTGAGCAAATGATAAAGATGATTGATGAGGGCAGGGTGGTAGATGTTATCTGTATGGTCTTGGAAAGGCCTTTCACAAGGTCCCCGTGGCAAGTAGATATAAAAGGTGAAGTCACATGGGATCCGCAGTGAGCTGTTAAGATGGATACAGAACAGGCTTGGTCATAGAAGAAGGTGTAGCGGTGAAAGGGTCTTTTTCAGATTGGAGATTTGTGAACTGTCCGGCAGCGATCAGTGCTGGAACCTCTGTTGTTTTCAATGTATATAAATCATTTGGAGGAGACTGTAGGTGGCTGATTAGTAAGTTTGCAGATGACATCAAGATTAGGGGAACTGCAGTTAGTGAGAAGAACTGACAGAGGATACAGCAGCATAGAAATAGGCTGGGCACTAGGGTAGAGAAATGGCAGATGGAGTTTAATCTGGTGATGTATTTTGGGGGGTCCATTGCAGGAGGGAAGTAGAGTGTAAATGGCAGATCCATTAATAGCATTAACATACAGAGGGATCTAGACATACAGGTCCACATTTCCCTTAAAGTGGCAACACAAGTGGATAAGGTGTTCAAGAAGGTGTATTCCATGCTTGCCTTCATCATTCAGGGAATACAGTATACAAACTGGTAAGTCACGTTGCACTTATCTCGAACTTTAGTTGGGTCACATTTGGAATACTGTGTCCAGTTCATGTTACCACACTATCAGAAATGTGGAGGCTTTGGACAGTGTTCAGAAATAGTTTACTAGGATGTTGCCAGGTTTGGAGGTTATTAGCCAAGAGGAGAGTTTAGAGAACCTTGGTTTGTTTTCACTTGAATATTGAAAGATGAGGTGGCGACCTGATAGAAATTTACACAATATGAAATGCATGGATAGAAGGGACAGTTGGAAACTTTTTCCCAGGATAGAAATGTTACTTACTGGGGGACACAGGTTCAAGGTAAAAGGGGAAAAGTTTAAAGGTGATGTGAGAGGCAGGTTTTTTTTTACACAGAGGGTGGTAAATGCGTGGAATGGCCTGCCAGAGGAGATGGTAAATGCAGATACAATATCAAATATTAAGAGGCACGAATAGGCAGACAATATAGGGACATAGACTGCGTACAGACAAAGGTTTTTACATTTAGAAAGGCATCATGTGTTGGTGCAATCTTGGTCGGCTGAAAGACCTGTTCCTGTACTGTACTGATCTTTATTCTTTTTTGCGGTTTAATTGAAATAATTTCCCATCATTTTAATGTAATTTTACTTTTCCATAGTTTTTTTTTCATAATTTGAATGAAAAATATATTCTATATGGGTAAGAAATAGACTCTAACCAAACCATACAGGCTTCAGGGCCAATGTGCTGGAAAATGGGATTTGAATAATTAGGTGGTTGTTTTTGACTGATGCGTACTGGATGGGCCAAAGGATCTTTTCCTGTGCTCTTGACTTCTGTGACAATGGGGCTTAATTCTTCCAGTTGCACCGTAAATAATTGTGGGAAGTTTGCATGAATATGCTCGGTGGAAAACCTGCTCACCGTCTCACTCAAATGTTCCCTTTCTTTTGGTAGCCATTCCATTCAACCAAACATACCCAGATGCGAGTTCTTAATAAATCACCCAGCCCTGTCCAGATGGGTAAATAACCCAAAGAGAAAAAAAAACACTTGGAGTAAACATGCCAGTCATTCTGGTCCCAATTTGGAAGTGAGAAGGTGACTACAAAGCAGTAATGTCACTATATGCAGAGACTCAGGACCCACAGGTTCAAATCCCACCAAAGAAGCTAAAATATCTGAAATTAACTTCAGTGATGGTGACCATTGTTGATTGTCAGAAAAACCCATCTGGTTCATGACTGTCCTTAAAGGGAAGGGGGATTTGCCATTATTGTCTGGTCTGCGTGACTCCAGACCCATAGCCATGTAGTTGGCTTGGCTCTCCTCTGAAATGTTCTTGCAAGTCGCTCAGTTCAAGGCCAATTAGGGATGGGCATCAGGAGTTGGCCTTGAAAGCAATAGCTATTATTTCTTGAAAGAATAAAGAACTATATTATCAGCAAGGTACAGTTGGTCTCTAATGGTCCATTCCACATGAATCATAGATTTTCTAAGTTCATGACACTGTTAGGATATATTTCCTTCTGTCCTGATAAATTTGGGCCACATTTGAGATGTAGAATTCATTATTTCTCTAAGTACCTGACTCAGAAGACAGATGAAGGCAAAAAAAAACTTCGGGATGGTGGAAGCCATGAGAAGTTTTTTTTTTATTGCAACAAGTTGATGTGACCAGGAATGCACTGCCTGAAAGTTTGGTGGAAGTTATTTCAATAATATCCTTCAAAAAAGAATATAAATAACTGAAAGGAGAAATCTGCAGGGCCACAGTCAAAAAGCAGGGGACCAGAACAAATTGGATAATTCTTGACAGAACCAGGTCAGAAATGAAAGACTAGTACCCCAGTATTGTTCTCCCAAACCTGTTTGCTTAACAGGACTATATGGAGAAAAAATGCAATTGCTTCTAAGTGGACTATGGGCTCACTGGCACGTGATTGAGTAACCTGGGCGAGACACTGTTTGTACATCGCAGTTTAAGAGCCACTATCTAAAAATAACTGAGAGAGATTGTGAATTCTCTGTCTGAACTTGCCCTGCTGCCAAGAATTGAAATGAATCTGTGTGGAAGTGCCCTATTAAAACATGAGCTTTTTCAGATTATGTCTGTGGACCTGCAGCTCTACGATTTAGGATAAAATGAAAATATTCTGAATTATGAAGAACAACACGCATGGGTGATTTGGCTGTAAAGATTAAAGGTTGTTTTTGTGGCGAGCAGGTGTAGGATTGTTATGTTTTGCGAGGGGGGACTTTGATTCACAATGACAATACCAAATTCACGAGAATCGGAAATAAGAAAAGATTTATCTTGCTGGAGGTAAAGGGAGGATATCCGGGATAAAAAAATGAAAGAACTGCAGATGCTGTAAATCAGGAAACAAAACAGAAATTGCTGGAAAAGCTCAGCAGGTCTGGCAGCGTCAGTGAAGGAAAAATACAGAGTTAATGTTTCGGGTCTGGTGACCCTTCCTCAGAACTGATGGTGGCTGGGAAAACGTCAGTTTATGTGCAGAAAAAAGTGGGAGGTATCCGGGATTGCTGGTTTGGCGGGGCCGGTGCGGAGGCAGGGAGTTCTCACTCAAAGTCAATTCCAAGGCTGACAGAGGAAAAGAACAGTTATAAACCCTCAGGAGTTCTTTGGAATTGTCTTGGAAAGTCGAATGACTACAAATGAGATACTGTAAGGTATGCTTGTAAAAATGGGTTTCTCAGCTGCTTTAAGTATATGTTGCTTAAAAAAATGTTCCGTCAGCAGTACTTTTAGTTTCATTGTTACAGTATGAGTCTTAAAATCTTTTTGTGTCATCCCTTCATGAATCTTGATTTAAAATCTTGCTTTAAAGTTGTCAGACTGGACAGGGATAATAACAGTCCACACATGAGTATTCACTTGCACTGGAGAATGGGTCGGACCCAAACAGGGATCATTTATAGTGTCTCAGTCTGATCTGATGAGGAGGAAAAGTACAGGGAAAATGATGAAAGGGAAGTTAACTGAAGAGAAATTTCAGCTTGTAATCATTTCAAATGAAAGTAAGAGGAAGAAACCAAATAAGTTGGCTGAATTACAAGTTTTTTAAAAAGGCACTGAATCAGTTGATTTGTAGCAAGTCACTAGCCAAATATTTCACATCTCTGCAAACAAAGAATCCATGAATAAGACTTTCAATAGGAGAAGAAAGATCACATCCCTGTCTCCCAATCCTACAACTTTTTACAGTCCTGCACCCCCCTGCCTCCCAATCCTCTGATTTTTTTTTTTGACCTGCAAAATTTTTCATCCAATATCCAGAATGTATTTCAGTCTTGCCAGGTTCCTCAAATTTGAGAAAACACTTGACGTTTCCTGGGTTTTCTCACTTCTCTCAAAACAGTCCCAAAATAAACTCATGTACAATCAATTAGTGTTAACCGCACTGGCCACTTTTCAGTAGCTAAGTAGGCTACAGCAAAGAGTTTGTGCACACCAGGTTCCCTCAAACAACAGAGATAAAAGGCTGGTTAATTTCAGACTGGGGCTTGGGGAGAATGTGGACAGGGTGGCTCGGTTGGGACGCTAGATAACAAATTTAGAACCTCACTTCCTCAAAAGGTAAGATTTTTATGAAAAGCAAACTTATCGAGTTAGTTTGCACAAAGAGAGAGCCCACAAACAGCAATGAGATAACCAGCTGTTCATTGGAGGAGGACCAGGACTCCCCGATGTAACTGATGAAAAATTTGGAAGTGCCAAGATTTTTTTTTAACAGGAAGCTACGAACAGAAAACATTTTAAGACTTATCGTTTACTGTTACTTTAAGAGCTATATTTAAAAAGTCAAACAATTTCGTGATTATTTCAGGTATTTTCCAACGACAGTCGCTGCTTCAGATCAGAAGCAACCTGAGAATTGAGGCTGAAAGGTGTCTTCGTGCCAGCATGCATATTCAGGTTACTAAAATGTGCAGTTGATGTCAAGCACCTAGAGTGTGCACTTCTCTGACAGAAAATCTGGTCCAATATCCATAAGACTGCAAATAAAAGTTGCATTTTATTTGTTATGACTGTTTCTCTGTAAAGAATGTTCTTATTCATGGGAGAACGGCTGCGGCCAACTCTGAGGAACAGTGCAGCATACAGACACATGGTATAAGACAAGGTTAACCTTGTACTCACGTTTACACAACCAATGCATTCATTGTCTAGCACACTTAACAGGTTTTTTGTTAAATGTTAGAGCACCTATGTGTGGTGATTTAAATTCTTTCCTTCAAACTCTAAGCTATGGTATTTTGTCACTGGTAACTTGCACCATTAGATCACATCATGCAACTGCCCTAGATCAGTGTGAGTGTTTATATAAGGCATATTGGAACAAGTCAAAAGAATTCCTTTGAATCACTTCCAATGTTATGTTTACTTGGTATTGTGTGGGGTTTGGGTTTGAGGGAGGGGTTGGGTCAGAAGGGAGGGGGAAAAGGGAGGGTGAGTTCCTGATGCCTTCTGTCTTCTTGAAGTATTCAATAAAGTCTTTCAAATTCATATTATATTTGGCTTTTGATGGTACCAGAGATGTCTGCAGCGAGCCAAGGTCCTTACAGGCTTGAGACGATTCAGTCACCTCACGGAGAGCTCCTTACTGATGTGAAGATAAGATAATGTTGGTTACAATCACAGCTCCAGGCAGCTGATGGCACCAAAGATCAGGCCGAAACTGAGCAAGATGTAGGAGACCTGCGCATTGACTCCTGAACCTGGAGGTTAAAAAAAAGAACTGGTAAGGAAAAAAGAAATGTTTCAAACATCAGACACTAGTAGCTTTTTATTTTTGAAAAACTTTGCTCTTTCTGTCAATCACACTTAATGATGCCACACATTATCTGGTTCAAAGGCCCAAGTTCTAGTCGAGAATAAATGATAAAGGAAGTCATTTTGGAATGTGTATTCAATCTCTCAGTAGTATATGGACCTGAGTTTCAATGTCTCCAAACTCTGAAATGAGCTGCCTATGAGCTAACACAGAAATAGAATTGAAAAGCAGATAGGTTTTATTGAACTGAAGGATCTGAAATGCACAATGTGATCTAGCCATTGTTAGGTAGGTTCCAGTGCTCACAGGACCAACATGACTGTCATCAGAGAACGTGCAGGGGTCATACACCTGGCTTAGAAAAACACATACCACCCATTCCATCAGCTTCAAAGAATGCACCAGCCTAATAAGACTTCTTCCAGACAGGAGATAGCATTCATTTGCTCCAGTTCAGACAATTCACTCTGTTCATGGTCCTGAATTCAGTTAGGAAGGGGTTAGATTATGAAGGTTTATTGAAACGAGAATGAGAGTTTTAAAGTCAAGGGCTGGTTCCAGGCCAATAAGCATGCGGCTGGGAGGCGGTGTTGGTGGAGCTTGCTGCTGGTTAGGGGAGGGTGAAGTTGAATGAAGTAGAGGGACAAGTCTGTTTATCTTAAAAGATGAGAAAATGGCCAGAAGAAAATGTGAACAGTCGAGTCTGGCAAATAGTGCGCATGTAGTCAGGATTCATGGTTCATCTTAATTGTCCTTGAGAAGTCGATGGTAAACCATCTTCTTGAAGGTGCTCCCACTGTGCTGTGATGCAGCTCCAGTATTTCAATGCAGTGACAATGAAGGCTAGTCCCAAGTCAGGATGCAGAAGGGAACTTGCAGGTGATGATATTACCCATGTGTCTGCTGCCCTTATCCTTCTCGGCAGGACAGATCGTGGGTTTGGAAGGTGGTCGAAGGAGCCTTACTGAAGTGCATTTTGTACATCGACACACTGTAGCCAATTTCTGCTGATGCTAGGCAGTGAATGCTGAAGTTAGTGCATGGGGTGACAGCATTGTTTTGAATGGTGTTAAGACTTCTGAGCGTTGTTGCAGCTGCTCTCATCGAGGCAAATGGATGGTATTCCTTCACTCTCCTCACTTGTGCCTTGTAAACAATGGACAAGCTTTGGAGAGTCAGGAACGGAGACACTCACTGAAGAATGACCAACCTCTGACTTGCAATTGTAGCCACGGTATTTATATGCCAATCGAGTTCAGTTTCTGGTCACTGGCAGCGCAGCAGTCCCTCACAGATCCTACCTTTGAGACTCAATCACTGCTAATCCTCCACTTAAACCTTACACTGTTTATTCTGCACTTGCACTTTCAATTCATCATAGAGTTGTCGGGGATGGGTAAAGCCATATGCCAGGCAGACTTGGAATGTGGATTACAAATTCCAGACAAGTTGCCCCTATGTTTCTGTTTTTGAGGGCTACGGGAGGTGTTTTGGAGGCAGATTTGTCCTCTTGGCTGTGTTTACTTTGAAAGCTGTCTTAGACAAAGAGATTCAGTAGCACGCCCATTTCAGCACTATTCCGGTTCCATAGCAGTTCCACACTATCAAATCATTTTCTCCAGGTGCAGAATCCGAGCTCTATCCTTTCCAAGACCAATCAAAATACTCCCTGGTGCTACGTCAGACAGGTGGTTAAAAAATATTAAATGGACAAGTTGACTCATTCTGGAAAAAATCACAAAGTTCCTTGGATATGGATCACAATAGTATTATTGTTATGACCCAATAATGATCAACTAATTGTGAAATCTGTGACTCCATTCATCAGGATGAGTCTCTAAGCCCTCTGCATTAATGGAAGGCATTGAGTTGAAGGGACAGAGCTGTCACATGTTTTGGCAAACGTGGTTCTTTGGTTGGATACTCTGAGTTAATATGTGCGAAAGTACATTGGTGTGTTAAGGGTTTTCATATTCCGCCATTTCCAAGAAGCCCGCATCAGATAAATCCTGAACACTGGGCCAATGATGGCTTCTGTGGAGATAACAAAATGACGGAGTGTGCACTCCAAAGAGGCTATTTTGTCAGAATACAGGGTTTGATGCAGATACTTGTTCCAGTTATTGTCTGTGCCACGTTTCTTGTTCCAATGGTGTTCCAAATTTTGATTTGAATTGTGAACATAACTTCAATTTGAAGATTCACAATGGAGCAGGGGAGTATAGGCACTAATTGATAAAAGATGAATTTGGGTCTAACATTGGAAGCAATTTCATCACAGGGTGATCATGATCAGCGTATTACACAAACAGGAGTAGGGATGGATTATATGGTGCCTCAATCCTGCTCTGTCATCCTATACAATCATGGCTGATCTTCTGCCTCAACTTCACTTTCACGCTAAGTCCCTACATCGCACAGTTTCCTGAGACACCAAAAATCTATGTCAACCTTAAAAAATGGTGGAGCACTGGCAACCACCTAAGGTAGAGGTTTCCAATAATTTGCAACACTTCGCATGAAGTAACTTTTGCTCAACTGACAGCTCATCCTGAGACTGTGCCCCCATGTTCTGTCTTCCCCTGTTATAACCTTTCAGTGTTGACTCCATCAACCCGTTTCAGTACCTTACACGTTAAATCAGGTCATCTCCTATTTCTCTAACCTCCAGAGAATATAAGCCTCCACTTGGAATTCTTGAAATAGTTTCCTGGTGAAGTAAAAGAGGTGCAAAAATTTTGCTCCAGCAGCAAATGAAGTGGTGGGGTTTTCAAGGAAAAATGAGCTAGATGGGTCTTTTTTTTGGTACTTGTCTTGATGAATTTTCTGTTCATCTTCAAAATAAGATACTTCCAGATTTTGGGGATTTGGCCTCTCAGGGCAATTTTACATTCAACAAAGACAGATTGGAAAGAATTTGGTTTTTGCTTTTCCCAAAGCAATAGAGGGGTCGGGGTGTTCCTGAGTGGCATGAATTTCTGTCCTTTCCAAAGGTCTCAGCTTTAGGTGCTTCCTGTCATTGAAAACGTGATACCCATTCAGTTGCATCAGTGAGAGCCTGCAGGGCTGATAAAATGTCCTTGGACTGGGTTTGACAGGACATTGAGTTTGTTCTATTAGGACTGGTGTTTCCAATGAAAACTGCCATTGTGTTTCTCTCAAATGCACAGCATTGTTAACTTATATTTCTCTTGGCAAGTGACAGATTGGAAGAACAAGGACAGCATTGAGAAAAGTCTGACTTGCTTGCTGCAGTTTAATGCATAAATGACCAGTTTTGCAAAAGAAACCTGAAAGAAAAGGTAACAAATTCCCCACAGAAGTTATGTTATTCAGAATTCAATTCCACTCTTGATTCTAATTTTAGTTTGCAATACAAGTCCCAACTGACATAAACTACGCATCAAGAAGGATGGAATTCTTTTCGGTTCTGGCAATCAGTGTGACTGTCAAACACTGACATGTCAGGCAGAAAGCTAAAGATTGCAAAACACCCTCAAAATACCGTATGGAGTAGAGGTCTGAAATAAGGAAACAGAACGTGCTGCAAATGCTCAGCAGGGCAGGTTGCATCTGTGTCAAAACAAGCACACCGTTTTTGGTCAATAGTCCTTCCTCATGACTGTAAAAGAGTAGGAATGATTCTAAACAAGTGGAAATGGATAGGTTAGAGTGAAAAGAGGAAGAAAACCTCAATGTCTGGTCTTAGGGGAGAAGGCGGGTGAGAATAAATGACAAAAGATTCTGCGATGCAAGGACCAAGGGGAGTGTCCATGGGAGAAGTAAAGAAACAAAAGGTCCAGAGATAGTAGGAACTGTAGATGCTGGAGAACCTGAGATAACAAGGTGTAGAGCTGGATGAACACAGCAGGCCAAGCAGCATCAGAGGAGCAGGAAAGCTGACGTTTCGGGCCTAGACCCTTCTTCAGAAAACAAAAGGTCCAGATGAGTTGCGAATGGCAGGATGACAAACAGCTACTGCTCAAAAGCAAAACAAGAAAAAAAGAGACAAGCTGAAACCAGCCAAGAGAAAGGATGCAAAATGGAGCAGCCGTTACTATTTGAAGTTAAACTCAGTGTTAAATCCAGAGGACTCAAAAGAGCTAAATCGAATGATGAGGTGCTGTTCGTCGAATTTGCACTAAGCTTCAGCGGAACAGTGGAGCAGGCCAAGGACAGAAAGGTCAGAGTTGGAGCAAGATGGAGAATGAAACTGACAGGCAATTGCAAGCTCAGGGTCACCTGAGTTGTTCTGAAGTGTGGTCACCCAGAAATGGCAAAAAAAATTAATAACACTGCGTCAAAAGTAATACAAGGGTTTACCATGACCTCTCAAGGCCTCTGGATTTAACTTCAAATCGCAACATCTGCTCCCATTTCGCATCCTTTCTCTTGTTTGATTTTGGTTCAGCTTTCTTTTCTCATCTAATATCATTTACACAATATTTCTGTGATGGTCCAACAACAGTGAGCATTGGCACTATTTTTCACCATTACTCACCCATTACATTTGTTTCCAATAGAATGTACCTTGAACTAGAAAAACGTCAAATAGATAAATATGGAAAAAGGCTTATTCACTGTAGGTAGTTCCTTGACAATAAAAAATAAATGTAGTTTCATAGCAACAATAATCTATTGCTGTACTAATCTGGCATTTTAAGTGTTAGAATAGACCAGCTAAAACAATGATTGGCCACAAACATCTCTGCAGCTCCAGCCACAATGCTTTAGGCTTCTTTCACCCCAGTAACTGAACAGCGTACGCATTTTTTCTCAATTGCACTGTGCAGGTTCACTGAAGGTCTGAAGGAATGCAAACAAGCATGACAAACAACTCAATCTTTAATCTCAGGGATGTGTCTTGAGCATCTCACTGTGGCATCAGGAAAGAAAGGCAAGGATAGGCTGCAAGTGCTAATGTGACAGCTGGAACCCTTGGGC